TGTAAGTGCTTTATGGGTATTATTTGTTCGTACTGATCATAAAAACCTAATATAAGAAAGACTTCTGAGTTCAAAAGAAAACCAGCGTGCTGCCTGACAGCCAGAGTCTGCTGTCAAGGTGAAACCCATCCTGTAACGAGGCTTCTGTCTTTCCCAAGTAAATCTCTCCTTACTCTGCAATAAAATTGCAGAGATTGCAAAAACATGTGTCTTTCAGTCCCAATGTCACAGCCCAGTGGGTGAGATTAAAAAAAAAAAAAGATAGCATTCTCATTAGATGACATGGCAAGCCCCTCCCCCACCCCAAGCCCACCAGACTGATGGCCCCTGCAGGACACAGCCAGTTAGCTATGAGATGGGACAGTGTGTTGAGCCCTCCCTGTAACTTTTCTATTTGAAGGTACAGGTTTGCATGTGAGGTTCTAATACCTAAGTGAGAGCATAAAGCAGTTTGAGTCTAACACCATCTGGAAAGCCTTAGGAGGTTCACATTATCTTCACACCTGCCACTGAGAAGAAAAAGCAACTCTGATTTCTAGAAGGGACTGGAGCCATTTAGGTCTTGCCAGAATGACTCCCACGGCAGCCCTGGCAGTGCACACCACTCTCCCAGTCGTGCTGTCTTCCTCTCGTGTTTCCTTTAGAGTCTGAGAAGAAGAAATTCAGTCACAAACGTACCAGTGAAGCTCCACCCACTGCACTTGCCACTAAGTCACAAAGGCAGGCCCCTGCAAACACGGACTCATTTGTCTTTACAACATACCTGCAAACTCAGAGAAGTTACATCAAATCTGTATTCCACCGGGTGCAGTGGCTCACACCTGTAATCCCAGTACTTTGGGAGGCCGAGGTGGGAGGATTGCTTGAGAGCCCAGGAGTTCAAGACCAGCCTGGGTAACATAGCAAGACCTTGTCTCTCCAAAAATTCCAAAAATTAGCCAGGCATAGTGATGCTGGCCTGTAGTCCTAACTACTCAGGAGGCTGAGGTAGAAGGATTGTCCGAGTCTAGGAGGTGGAGGCTGCAGTGAGCCATGATCGTGCCACTGCATCTCATCCTGCGCAACAGGATGAGACACCGACTCAAAAAAAAAAAAAAGTCTGTATTCCAGGTGGCAGAGATGAGAGCCAAACCATTAACAGTTAAGCACAGGAATTGTCACCAAGAATCAGCATAGAAAGCACAACGTTCCCAGCATCTTTCTCCTGTTCACGTTACCAGTCTGGGACCTTGGGACTTGCAGTATCAGGCACCATTGTTCTAGACAGAATTTTTAAAAATTACATGAGCTCAATTCTTGCCCTTTGGTGTACAGAATTTGTCCATCCTCCTTCCTGTCCTTGTAATTTTACGTTGCCTTAAAAGATGTATGTTGTGGAAGACTTGATTGGTGCATGCAACTACTGGGCTTATTACACAATGAGTGAACTTAAGGAGAAAGGTATTTTATTTAAAGCACCACTGTATCACAATTTAATTTCCTTTTTACCATGGCAACATGTACAAATTCAGCATTGGTGGAATCCTACCAATAAAACATATTTAGAATCCTGCTTTTGGGGGGGTAGCTGGTAAACTGTGTCTATCCAAAGGCAATACAAATGCTTCAAACAAAAAACTGCAGTCAAACTGCTTATGTGGTTTGCCAAGGAAAGAGTGGAGGTAATATCTGACTGAATGCAACCGGACAGTGCTTTGTTTTGTTTTGTTGTAGGACTCGCTTTAAACCAGATGTGTTTTCAGTGTCATTTTAAGGCTCACCTCTTAGAGCTAATGCCCAAAGAGCCATGACAGTCATGCATGATGCTTCTCTTCTCACCAGAATCTCTCGAGGCCAGTGAGGCTCTCTCTGCCCAGGCAGCCTGAGATCTCTATACAGGGTGGAAGGTGGGAGAGGGTTGTACTAATTCATTTTCCTCCTGCTGAAACTTGAGTAGCTTTGAATTCAGGAAAGAAAACTGTTACACTGTTGTATAAAGTAACAATAGTGTGGCAACTTTATCTGGCAGAGTATGTTTATTCCTGCCCAGGTGAATTTTGCCTACATTAAGTGAAATGATATCATATATGTCTGTCTTATTGCATCCATCCAGACATAATATACAGAGACATTCATTAGTTTAAAACTGGTCAGAATAGCCACCTGAAGTTCAAATGTAATTACAAACAGTCCTCAACCTCCTAGTCAGTTTATCTGAGTTTTTCATCCTTAATAATTCCACGAATTCCAAGTCCTCCTGCCTATCAGGGTTTTGTTTTTGTTTTTGTTTTTTCCTTTTTCTTTTTTTAGTCGGGTTCTCACTCTGTCGCCCAGGCTGGAGTGCAGTGGCACGATTACCACTTACCACAGCCTAAACCTCCTGGGTTCAGCCTTCCACCTCAGCCTTCCAAGTAGCTAGAACTACAGATGCGTGCTACCACCCCAGCTAATTTTTTGATGTTTTGTGAATACAAGGTCATGCTATGCTGCCCAGGCTGGTCTTGAACTCCTGGGCCCAAGCAATCCTCCTGCCTTGGCCTCCCAAAGTGCTGGGATTACAGGCGTGAGCCACCATACCCAGCACATTTCAATTACATATAATTTTTTTTTTTTTTGAGTTGGAGTCTCACTCTGTCACTCAGGCTGGAGTTCAGTGACATGTTCACAGCCACCCCAGCCTCGACCTCTTGGGCTCAGTTGATCCTTCTGCCTCAGCCTTCCAAGTAGCTGGAACCACAGGTGTGTGCCACCATGCCTGGCTAATTTTTTAATTTTTTTGTAGAGACAGGTCTCACCATGTTGCTCAGACTGGTTTCAAACCCCTGAGCTCAGGCAATCCTCTCTTAATACAGAAGGGTGTCACAGGGACCTAGGAAAGAAAGTATGTATTTTATAACTAATGAATGGTTACAAAGTTATTTGGAACTTGGGGGTGGATGTCTGGAGCTTAAACACATGAGGTGCTTCAAGGCACATCCTCTCTGTGTTATTTCCCAGTGGACTGACTTACCCCATGTTTGAGATGGAAGATGCTCATGTCATACTCAGCCCAGAGGGACTAATTCTAGTCTGAGTAGATGAGTACCTCCTGCACTCACTATGAGTGTGTCCTGATTGGGGCACTAGGCTTGCACCTGTTTTAAGTTCCCAACTAAAGCTGAGGTTATTTTTTTTAAGCACAGTACTCTAATTTTTCTGTGATAGCTAAAAGTGAAAGGCTCAAAGACAAAAGCATCCCTGATTCACCCACTCCCCCACAACAAAGGAATTTAAACGGAAGGAAATGAAGAGATTTGAATAGAACTATAGAGAAATCAAAATGTCAAGTTATTAGCCTTTAATACGTGGGTTTATAAAGCACGTGATAATTTTTCAAAGCTGGATTTCCACAGAGCAGAATTTGTTCCTGAACAAACAGTACAACTCTGAGGACTGAGAAGAAAAGATATAGAATGGCAACACTGGATCCTTCAGTTATAGGACGAAATGCCACGCTATGGGGCCCAGTAACGCTCCTTGACATCACATGGAAACCATAGGTTTTTCCATGTAGTTCATTTTGTCTCTTCAAGTAGAAAATAATCATTTTTAACAGTTTTTTTAAAAAATTGTTCCAATAAATGTTGAGGAAAGTTTTTTTAATATGCTTCTCTACTTCTTTAAACAAAATGGTGGGCTAGGTGTAGTGGCTCACGCTTGTAATCCCAGCCCATTGGGAGGCTGAGGTGAAAGGACTGCTTGATCCCAGAAGTTCAAGACCAGCCTGAGCAGCATAGTGAGACCTCATCTCCACAAAAAATTAAAAATTAAGCCGGGTATGGTGGCATGTGCCTGCAGTCCCAGCTACTCGGGAAGCTGAGATGGAAGGATTGCCTGAGCCCAGGAGGTGCACTCCAGCCTGGGCCACAGAGTGAGACTCCGACTCAAAAATAACTACATATATACATGGATACATACATACATACAAACTAATAGATACCATTTCTAGAAATGCACTGCCATGTCATGCCACCTTCAGGGGCTACTGAAGTATGCAGAACCAATAATGCCCTTTTTCGACATCCCACCCCACTAAGGTTTTGGGAGTAGAATTAGTCAACTATCAGAATTCAAGGCTGAATGGACAGTTGCTTGGGAAAAACTGCTAAAACATCTTCACAACTGATTTACATGTTAACCTGTAATATATGTGTAGACGTGTAATGTGTGTGTGTTCCCCTCATTTTCCAGAAGCTTTTTCTCTATTTTGTAAATATTCTAAATGGTTGGTATTGCCAGAAGTCTGACTATTCACCTGCTAAAGGAAATGCTGCCCTATCTTGGGGACAGAAGTAGATACACTACTCAATAACAAAGACAGAATTAGAATTCTCTTATTCCACCGCTACACTATTTCAGTGTATCTATTTATTCTTTACCTTACTTCAAAATCAAACAGAGATGAGGCGTGGTGGCTCACATCTGTCATCCCAGCACTTTGGGAGGCCAAGGCAGAAGGATCGCTTGAGCCCAGGAAGTTGAGACCAGCTAGGGCAACATAGCAAGACCTTATCTCTACAAAATAGTCAAAAAATTAGCTGGGACATGCCTGTAGTTCCAGCTACTCAGGAGGCTGAGGTGGAAGTATCACCTGAGCCCAGGAGGTCAAGGCTGCTGTGAGCCATTAGTGTGTCACTGCACTCCAGCCTGTGTGACAGAGTGAGACCTCAAATTCAAAAACAGAAACAAAGATAAAACTGAAGTTGTCTCACCCCTCTCCATGAAGCCACCAAAAATTGTCTCCATATACTCCATTAGGAGAAAAACTGCAGAATCACCAGCAAACCAGATCATTCATAAATGCAAATTCATTCATGACGAAGCCTTCATTTCAAACCTTATTCTACGCACAGGGTTCTACACAGCCACGGTGCAAAGAGAAGCCTCGGGGAGCTGTTTTTTGATCATGATGATGTGTCAGGATCTGTCACAATGTGGCAAAACCTCTATATTCGTCTGTATTCCCCTCCCCCTCCCCCCAGGTGGGCAGCAGGCTGAAGACGCCCAAGTTACCTGTTTGGCTATGCAGCATCAATGGACATCACAGCATTCTTTTTTGCACGAATAGGCAGCTGTTATCAGACTGGAAGATGGAGCGTCTCTTTGATCTGTACTTTTACAGCGGCCAGCCCTCGCAGGACAAGCCTGTGCATCTTACAATAGGTGAGCATTTCAGGCCCCCAGTGTAGTGGACTTTCATGTGCTCAGAGACACGGCTGCGTGGATATTCAGACTGGCTCTGCGGGAAAAGGCTTAGGGTTTCCTTTCTGAAATGAAGCTGGAGTTTGAATCCCCTGGGCATCGCCCTGTGGGAATTCTAAACACGCTTTCAATAAGAGCAGGGGCGTTAGAAGTAACACAGAGGAGCAAACAACTTTCAGGTAAGAGAAAAAAACAAAAGATGAAGAGTCAAATTTCCAAAGAGCCTTCTCCAGGGCCTTTCATCTTTGAGCATGAAGGATTTAATTATACCTGAGGAAGGAATTGAGAAAACAAAGGGAAAAGGGGGCTCCAATTGGCCAAATCTATCCCACAAGCAAACACCAGATGATCACCTAGTGATGTAAGTAAACCAGCAGATAGTGCATTTCTGTTCAAACCAGTTCAAAACATGTTGAAGAGCCTACCATGTGCCAAGCTCTGGACTGGATACTAGGGAAGCCATGACAAATAGGGCACAGTCCCAGAAAATCTTTAGGAGTTTCCCATCCCATGGGAAAAGCAGACAACCAAATAGGTCATTTCATTTCTTTTCTTTTCTTTTTAGAAAGCAGGGTTTACTGAGAGAACAGAAAAGCTCCCACAGTGGGAGGGGACCCAAAGGGGTTAGCCCAGGTCATTTCATTTCAATGACAACCCCATATCTTTTTAAACTCATGAGGAAAAAAGACTAACCTTATAAGATGTCTTTAGGCTGGGCTTGGTGGCTCAGCCTGTAATCTCAGCACTTTGGGAGGCCGAGGCGAGTGGATTGTCTGAGTCCACGGATTCGAGACCAGCCCAGGCAACTTGGTGAGACCTCGTCTCTACAATAAATAAAAAATGAGCTGGGCACAGTAGCGTGCTCCTGTAGTTCCAGCTACTTGGAAGGCTGAGGCGGAAGGATCACCAGAGCCCAGCAGGTTGGTGCTGGGGTGGCGGTGAGTGTACCACAGCACTCCAGCCTGGGTGACAGAGTGAGACTCCAACTCAAAATAAATAAATAAGATATCTTTAAGCACTGGCCCCTAGGGCAAGGCATTAAAACATGAACACAGAGGCTGGGCCTGGTGGCTCACATCATAATCCCAGCATTTTGGGAGGTCGAGGAAAGAGGACCTATACCTGGTTCTAGGTGTGACATCATGGTCCTGAGAGATACATTACACAGTTTAATAACATATACATCCCAAATTACACAACAACCTGGTTACCACTGATTTATTCTATATGAGACATATCTTTTTTTTAGGGGTTGGAGTCTCACTCCGTTGCCCAGGCTGGAGTGCAGTGGAACACCCATGGCCACCCCAGCATCGACCTGCTGGGCTCCGGCGATCTTTCTGCCTCAGCCTTCCAAGTAGCTAAAACTACAGGTGTGCGCTACCACACCCAGCTTATTTGTTATTTATTGTAGAGACGGGGTCTTGCCAAGTTGTCTTGAATCCACGGGCACAGGCAATCCACTCGCCTTGGTCTCTCAAAGTGCTGGGATTTTAGGCTGAGCCACCGAGTCCAGCCCTATACGGGACATTTCAACATATCTACCTGAATCCCCCTCTGCTTCACCAGTTCTAGGAATACAGCTTGCTGAGCTCGACTCCTGCTCACCACTTTTTTTGCTCCTCTCTAGTGGCTTCTTCTGCCATGGCATCTGTAGACTTCAGTCTAAATGTCGGTTGTTTTTTCCTCAGATACTCACTCCCATCACTGGGAAAGGGACCAACAGGAAGACAGACATGGATCAGGAAGACGGTTTTCTCCAGTGGAGATGGTAATCAGAACCAAGTGGAGAGAGGCCACCATCAACTGGAATGGGACTGTTCCCTTCTTCTAAAGAAAAAACTAGACTGTGCAATGAAGTCTGAGGTATCAGAACAGGTGGGAGGCAAACGCCTAATGTGGAGGAAGGTCATTTTATTTCTACATTCTTCATTCATGAACACCACCCAAAAGTACCTTTTTTTTCTTTTTCTTTTTCTTTTTTTTTTTTTGAGTCAGAGTCTTACTCTGTTGCCCTGGCCGGAGTGCAGTGGCACACTCACAGCCTCGACCTGCTGGGATTAGATGATCCTTCCTCCTCAGCCTTTCAAATAGCTGGAACTACAAGTGCGAGCCACTGTAGTTAGCCACCTGGCTAATTTCTTTATTTTTATTTATTTATTTATTTATGTTTATTTTTATTTTTTAGTTGGAGTCTCACTCCATTGCCCAGGCTGGAGTACAGTGGCACAGACGCTCATGGCAACCCCAGTGTCGACCTGCTGGGCTCCCGTGATCCTTCAGCCTCAGCCTTCCAAGTAGCCGGAACTATAGGCAGGCGCTACGATGCCCAGCTAATTTTTTGATTTTATTGTAGAGATGAGGTCTTGCCAAGTTGCCCAGGCTGTTCTCAAAACTGTGGGCTCAGACAATCCCCTCACCTCAGCCTCCTAAAGTGCTGGGACTACAGGCTTGAGCCACGGCGCCAAGCCTAATTTTTTTATGTATTATAGAGACAAGGTCTCACCAAGTTGTCCAGGCTGGTCTTGAATCCCTGGTCTCAGGCAATCCTCTCGCCTTGGCGTCCCAAAGTGCTAGGATTACAGACTTGAGCCACTGCGCCCAGCTTTTCTTTTTTTTAATCTCTAGTAAACTCTTTGCTATGAGTGTTGTAGGAAAAACATAGACCCTTACATCAGGGTCACCAGGGTCTGCATGGTGGCTTCTCTGTAGTCACATAGACTGTTTTTTTTTATTTTATTTAAACAGAAAGTGAAGGCTAGATGTAGTGGCTCATGCCTGTAATCCCAGCTCTTTGGGAGGCCAAAGAGGGATGATCACTTGAGCCAAGAGGTTTAAGACCAATCTGAGCAACATAGCGAGACCTTGTCTCTACAAAAAAATAAAAAATTAGCCAGGCGTGGTGGTGTGTACCTGTAGTCCTGGCTACTCAGGAGGCTGAGATAGGAGGATCACCTGAGCCCCAGAAAATAAGACTGCAGTAAGCTGTGATCGTGCCACTGCATCCCAGCCTGGGCAGCAGAGTGAGATCCAAATTCAAGGAAGAAAGGAAGAAAGAAGGGAAGGAGAGAGGGAATTGAAGTCTCTTCCTTGTGTGCTTTTCAGAATTTGTCTCGTCTTGGTATGGTTCTCCATGAGGATTATGGAAGCAGGCACAGCTAGCTTTCATTGGAAAATGAAGTCATCTGTAAGACTCCATCAACTTTTCAGTTATGGCAAGAACTCAAGCCTTCTCCAAGACTTCCTGGTCTGGATAGCATTCCTTTCCAAGGATACATCTCACATGCCCACATTAGCAAGTTCTTGTCATTACTGTAGTAAATTGGCTTCTTCAGGCCTGAAGCAGGGGCAATTCCTGGTAGACTGGCAGCTATAGCAGTTGACACATGGGTTGAAGTAGCCAAGACAAGCAGGCAGAAGGAGACATTCTTTTTATCAATGCTGTTTGTTTCTTTTCTTCATAAGCTGGATATAAATCCCATAGACAAACAGATAAACTGGGAGGGAAAAGTCTAATTCCTACATAAAATAAAATTATATGTAAAAATTGGCTAGGCACAGTGGCTGACGCCATAATCCCAGCACTCTGGGAGGGCCAGGTAGGAGGATTGCTTGAGCCCAGGAGTTCAAGACCAGCCTAGGCAACATAGCAAGACCTTTTCTCTAGAAAAAATTAAAAAATTAGCCAGATGTAATGGTGCATGCCTGTAGTCCCAGGTACTCAGGAGACTGAGGTGGAAGGATGGCCTGTATACCATGATCATACCACTGCACTACAGCTTGGGCAACAGAGGGAGACCCCAACTTAGGAAAAAATATATATATAGCTGTATATACAAAAATAAAATATCTTCTTCAGTCAGTGTTCAAAGGCGAAAAGTATTCCTCTTTTAAATTTTGATACATTTTATTTTTTATTTTAATTTTAAAGATGTGGAGTATACTTCAAGGTTAGGTATACAAATGTTCATTATGCAGGTACCCTTGTTGATGAGGTGTGCTCCCCCCTCCCCAGGCAGTTTCCCACTAATGCCAATTCCACCCCCCTTCCCTGGCAGTAGCCCACTACTGCCAATTCCTTTCTTATAGTATTATGGTAATTGTTCAAGATCTGCTTATGAGTGAGAACATGTGGCACTCAGTTCTTTGTTTCTATGATACATCACTCAGTATTATAGACTCTAAGTCCATCCAAGTTGCCACAAAGTTCATAATTTTGTCCTTATTTATGGCTGGGTAATATTTCATCATGTATATGTACCACATTTTTAAAAATCCAGTCCTCTTTCAATGGGCAGCATGATTGGTTCCATGTCTTTGTTATGGTGAATAATACTGTAATAAACATGCATGTGGTATCTTTTTCGTAGAGTGATTTGAGTTCCTCTGGTTATATAACTGGAGACTTATATATACCCCACTATCAATCCTAGACAGATCATCAAGACAAAAAAATCAACAAGGAGATCCGGAACCTCAACATGATGCTTGACCAAATGAATTTAATTGATACGTACAGAACACTTCATCCAACAACCACGGAATATACATTCTACTCATCACCACATGGAACATATGCTAAGATTGGCCACATCCTTGGCCATAAATCAAGCATAAACAAATTTCACGAGATTCAAATACTGCCATATACCTTCTCAGACCACAGTGGAATAAAAATAAATATCAACACCAACAAGTTCCCCCAAAACCCACAAAGACATGGACACTAAACAGAATGATGCTGAACAACTCCTGGGTCAACACAGAAGTCAAAATAGAAATTAAAACACTCCTGGAGACAAAATGAAAACAAAGAAGCATCTTACCAAAATCTCTGGAATGCCATGAAAGCATTACTAAGAGGGGAATTCATATCTCTATAAACACACATGAAGAAAATGGAAAGATCACAAGTTAACAGCCTAACAAATCACCTAAGGAAGCTGGAAAAGCAAGACCACCAAAACCCTAACTTCAGCAGAAAAATCCAGATCACCAAAATAAAAGCCCAAATCCAAGACATAAAAGACAAAAATATAATACAAAAAAAAAAGAAATCAATGAAACTAAAAGCTGGTTCTTTGATAGGATAAACAAGATTGATGGACCCCTAGCTAGACTGACCAAGAAAAAGAGAGAAAAAGCCCAAAAAAGCACAATCAGAAATGCAAAAGATCAAGTCACAACTGATCCTGAAGAAATACAAAAGATTATCAGAGATTACTATGTACACTTGTATGGAAACAAACTTGAAAACCTAAATGAAATGGAGGACTTTCTGACATCACACAACCTCCCCAGGTTGAAACAAGAAGAAATTGAGACCCTAAATAGACCAATAACAACCCAGGAAATCAACTATGTCATAAGAAAATTACCTACAAAAAAACAGCCCTGGACCAGATGACTTTCCAGCAGAATTCTACAAAACATACAAGGAAAATTACTCTTTTAAGAATACAGTCTTTCCCTGTCCTGTTAAATGCCTACATTTTTTTTCTGAAGAGGTACACAGAGTAGACACATATTCTTTCTAAAACAAGTGCATGAGAATCATTTAGACGTCTTCCCCACCCACCTCACGGGTCTGCCAACTCACAGTCTTAGGGCTCTGTATCCACAATCCAAAGGTTAGTTTCCAAAGAACAGCTTTTCTGCATTCATCCAAATTAATTTATTAAGTGCGTTTTCATTTGGCTCAAAGAATAATGTTTTAACATAAGGACCATGTAGAAAATGAAACTTAAAGGTGAGTAATAAAATTATGTCAGAAGAGAAAGGCATCTGGCTTGGATTGCTGATTGTAGTCTTTTTATCACTGGTATTTTCATTTTGAATTTTAAATACACTGGACAAATGAGTGGATCTTACTTATTTGGTCTTAGTCTTAGCCATATTGTCTTTTTCCTGAGGTGTGGACCTGTTTTTTGTTTTATGAACACTGAATTATTTCTTACTAGATCTCTCTTTTGGAGCTGACTGCTAGAAGACCTAGAGCCAAATAAGAAACCACACCAAGTGCATGAGTGAGGAAGCTCTCAGCAGCAAGTAAGAGATCCCGCTAGAAGTCTCAGACAGTAAAGACATTCCTGTTGATGTGAATCGTCTAGGGGACCCATGAGCCTAAGACTAAGCACAGGACACTTGATATTAGAACAAATTCAGGGTTCTGTAGGAGAAAGAAAAACAGCATGGCTGTGGGATACACAACCAGCAATGTCTGCCTGGAAATGTGTTAGCTCTTACAAAAGGCGTTTACACTCCTGTATACATATTCTGTTCCTACCCTTATTTTTCTTTTGAATTTTTAATTTGTTTATAATATATGTTAGTTTGCCATTTTTTATATGTTGTCATAATTTGTGTTAAATTATTCTTGGAACAAATCTATAAATAAGTAAACTAATGAAGGAAAGATTAAGTACCTATGTTTTATATGTGAACGTATAATTTTGATATATAAAGGTATTAATCACTTTGCATGCCAGTGTTCTATGAAAATAGCTTTTATTTTATCTTATTAACAGGGTACTCGGTAATACTTGGTATTTCTTTTTTAAGGTAGAGACACATTACTTAAGAGTAGCTAGCCAGGCTCGGTGGCTCAGCCTGTAATCCCAGCACTTACAGAGACTGAGACCAATGATTGCCTGAGCCCAAGGGTTCAAGTCCAGCCCGGGCAACTTGGCGAGACCTCGTCTCTACAATAAATCAAAAAATTAGCCAGGCGTGGTAGTGTGCACCTGTAGTTCCAGCTACTTGGAAGGTTGAAGGGGAAGGATCACCTGGCAGTGAGTGTGCCACTACACTCCAGCCTGGGCAACAGAGTGAGAC